AACAGCAGTTTTATTTGATTCAACCTAATTGTTGAATTCAAATGTAGGCCCTGTTGGGATCATGTGAGTTATTTATTTTAGGGATAGCTGAGGCCAAGCAAAATTAATGCCTCAGGTGTGAAGGAAACATACATTTAGAGAATATAATGAATATTACTATGTAATCAATGAAGTTCATTCTGAGTATGCACAGAATCCAGTGTAGTCTTTTCTTTCTACATTATGCTCATTTTCTGGCCTGGTGACTCTAGATGATGTGGTTCCTGTATTCCTTCAGTGGCTGGAAAAGGAAAAGTCCATTTGAAAATTTTGTTAGGATATTCTTTGTAATAATGTTTGACCAGAAATACTTGTTGCTACAGGAGAAGAGAGAGCCTATTATTGGCACTAACATCCAGGATATAAAATAAATAGTTCTTCAGAGTTGTCTTTCTTTGTTTTCCAATGAGGTCTGTCAAGGAGTTGAGAGGCCAAACTTTACCAACTTCCAGTTTTAGACCCATTTTGTCATTCTATCCTGTATCAGAAGGAGTCAGCTTTCCTTTGTTGTTTGATGTAGCTCAAATTTCTTGACTAAGGAAGCTGATGTTTTAAATAAACTACTTTTTTCACTTCTTCCTAAGGCATAACCTCATCTTTTCCCCTGGAAATAAATGCAACTTTTTGGACTATTTCCATCACATAGCCTTTTGCACACAAAAGTTAATCAGTGGAAGGAAAGATAATCCCACAGGGAGTATTTATAGATGCAGGGGGCGGGGAAGTATCCTCTAAGTGGCTCTGATATACCTTGTTCAAATCTCTGAACCATATTCAGAACTTCATTAGCAAACTGGCCCATTTCATTGCTTTCAGACACATGTGCCACACGAGCCTGTCTTCACTAGAATGTCTGGCTAGGGTCTAGCACATCTGCAGGTAATATATTCTTATGAGTTTTCCACCCTGATGTGGAGGGGCCAATAGTGGCATGTAAACATCTTTTAACATACATATTAGAGTTGATGTAACCCCTTCACCTGGGACACTTGTTTAAAAGTGTTGTTTTTCTGGAAAAAATCACAGACCAGTCTAGATGGAATCAGGTACAAATATCTCTTCCCAAGAGAAGTTACAAATAACTTATTTTACCTTTTTCCCTCAAAATAACTCATGAGAAGCAAAAATTAGAGAGATTTACTAAATCTAGAAAAATGTGGGCAGTATAATGGGCAAAACACATAAAGGAGTCGAGGTGAAGACACTGGAGGAAATAGTGTCCTCTTCCCATACATTTCCTGAATCTAACCACAGAACTCCATTACCTTCCCCATCCCTGCCTCAAAATTCTATACCTTCTTTAAAAATTCTAAATAATGGCCAGGCATGGTGGTTCAAGCCTATAATCCTAGGGCTCTGGGAGGCTGAGGGGGAGGATTGCTTGAGGTCAGGAGTTCAAGACCAGCCTGAGCAAGAGCGAGACCCTACTAAAAAATAGAAAAAATTAGCTGGGCAACTAAAAATAGAAACAAAAAATTAGCTGAGCATGGTGGCCAGCGCCTATAGTCCCAGCAACTTGGGAGGCTGAGGCAAGAAAGAGTATTGCTTGAGCCCAGGAGTTTGAGGTTGCTGTGAACTAGGCTGACACCATGGCACACTAGCCTGGGCAACAGAGTGAGACTCTGTCTCAAAAAAATACGCATATATATGCATATTTATATATATATACAGACTCACCAGAATGAAGGATTTAGTTTCCAGTTTTGTTGGTGCTCTTTGACATAATTCACCTTTGGCATCAGTTTGTGTGTCTGGGTCATTTTACTTCTATGGCCCTAAATTTATTAGACTGTACAAACCTAGGGTTTTTATTTTTCCTTTGAGACAGAGTCTCATTCCTTTGCCCAGGCTAGAGTGCCATGGCATCAGCCTAGCTCACAGCAACCTCAAACTCCTGGGCTCAAGCGATCCTCCTGCCTCAGCCTCCTGAGTAGCTGGGACTACAGGCATGCGCCACCATGCTTGGCTAATTTTTTGTATATAAGTTGGCCAATTAATTTGTTTCTATTTATAGTAGAGACGGGGTGTTGCTCTTGCTCAGGCTGGTTTCGAACTCCTGACCTCGAGCAATCCGCCCGCCTCAGCCTCCCAGAGCTAGGATTACAGGCGTGAGCCACCGCGCCCGGCTAAGGTAACTATTCTTAAAAAATATGTCCAGGCGCAGTGGCTCATGCCTGTAATCCCAGCACTTTCAGAGGCCAAGGTGGCAGGATGGCTTGAGGCCAAGAATTTGAGACCAGCCTGGACAACATAGTGAGATCTTGTCTCTACAAAAAAAAATTACTCAACTTTCAAAAAAAATGAGAATTAAAAATTAAATTGGTTTGATAGCCTTTATGAATCAGGCCTTCAAGAGGAAAATTTCTGTACCATGTTGTTAGGATAAGGGAGAAGATATCATTCAAGTGGCTAAACAGTGAGGATAAATTGCCGTAAAATGAATGTCTCTGAAGGCAGAAAAGGGGCTTTTTAAAAAAAATATGGTATCACTGAGAGATGCATTTATTTATTTAGTGCATTTGTCTGCTGTGTTTCCAGTTTCAGTTGCAATTCCCACATTAAGGTTGTTCCCACCCTTCCTGTGTCCCATGAGCTGAGCAGGCACTTCCTGTCTTTTTGGAAATGAAACTTAGAAATTGGGGGTGAGGTATGTGTATTAACTCTGCAGAATGTTGTGTTTTTTTTTGAGACAGAGTCTGGCTTTGTTGCCCAGGCTAGAGTGAGTGCCGTAGCATCAGCCTAACTCACAGCAACCCCAATCTCCTGGGCTCAAGCAATCCTGCTGCCTCAGCATCCTGAGTAGCTGGGACTAGAGGCATGCACCACCATGCCCGGCTAATTTTTTCTATATATATTAGTTGGCCAATTAATTTCTTTCTATTTATAGTAGAGACGGGTCTCGCTGTTGCTCAGAATTAATTTCTTTCTATTTTTTAGTAGAGATGGGGGTCTTGCTCTTGCTCAGGCTAGTCTCGAACTCCTGACCTTGAGCAATCCACCTGCCTCGGCCTCCCAGAGTGCTAGGATTACAAATGTGAGCCACCATGCCCGGCCTAGTGTTCTTTGATTCTGTATTATTTTATTTCCTTTTTTCCTAGAGATAAGAGATGTTCCACCAATTTCCATGAGATTGGAAGTTACGAAAAGAATTTTTGAATAATCAAGTTTTTTGCTTATGGGGGGGAGAGAGAAGAAATGAGATTAGGTGATCCCTGAAACTCCTTATCCAGTATTTTCTAGGTACATAGTTTAGCCTGCTTGATCCTAGTATAATCTTTTGAATGTAACTAAGATGCTAGTTTTTAGAATTGCTCAATTCAGGTCTTCAAATCTGGGTTATATGATACCCAGAGGGATACACACTGGGAGGCAGTAGAGTAATTAATTGTAATGGAGCTAACATCTATTGAGTGTTTACCAAGTGCCAGGCACTTTCCAAAGGGCTTTATATGGACTGCCTTATTTTATTTCACTGCAATCTTAGGAAGTAGATACTCCTTATTTATTCCATTTTACAGATGAGAAAAGTAAGGTTCAGATATGTGAGATAATTCTTCCAATGTCTTTCAGCTTGTGAGTGATGGGCCTGGACCAGAACTTAGGTCTGATACAAAAATAATGAAGTAGGCCGGGCAAGGTGGCTCACGCCTGTCATCCTAGCACTCTGGGAGGCTGAGGAGGGCAGATTGCTTGAGGTCAGGAGTTCGAAACCAGCCTGAGCAACAGCGAGACCCCATCTCTACTAAAAAAAATAGAAAGCACTCACTCTAGCCTGGGCAACAAAGTGAGACTCTGTCTCAAAAAACAAACAAACAAAAAAACACAAAGGTAATGAAGTAAGTATTATGTTCATTTTGCACACGAGTGAATGAGAGATGTTAAATAACTTGGCCTAAATTCACATAAATAGTAACTATCAGTGGTGTCAGAATTTGAACTCAGGTTTGCCTCTTTCTAAAACCCATGGTTTTAACTATTTTAAAATCTAAGATACCATTGAGCATTAAGGAATGCAGAAGGAGAATACAACACATTACAATTATTATAATTGATCCAGCAATCCCACTTTTTGGATATATACCCAAAAGATTTGAAATCAGTTTGTCAAAGAGATGTCTGCACTTCCATGTTCATTGCAGCACCATTCACAATAGCCAACTTATGAAGTCAACCTAAATGTCTGTTAACAGATGAATGAAGAAAGAATACATGCTATATGTACATTGGGGAGTACTATTCATCCTTAAGGAAATTCTGTCACTTGCGACAACATGGATAGAATTGGAGAACATATGCTAAGTGAAATAAGCCAGGCACAGAAAGACAAATACTGCATGTTCTCACTTATATGTGGAATGTGAAACAATCAACTCATAGAAGCAGAGAGTAGAAGGTGGTTACAGAGGCTGGGAGGTGGGGGAAGTAGGGAAATGATGGTCAAAGTATATAAAATCTCAGGAGGAATAAGATTATGTTTTGAGATCTGTTGCACAGTGTGGTAAATATATTTAGTAATAGCATATTGTACATTTCCAAATTGCTAAGAGGGTAAATTTCAAATTTTCTCACCCCCCAAAATGATAAGTATTTGGGGTGATAAATATATTAATCAGCTTGATTTAATTATTTCACATTGTATTTATAAATCATAACATCGAGGTAATTTGTATCCCATAAATTTACATAATTATAAATTATCAACTTACAATAACACACAAAAAACCCCACAATGAAATACCAATTTACACCCATTAAGGTAACTATTCTTTTTTTTTTTTTTTTGAGACAGAGTCTCACTTTGTTGCCCAGGCTAGAGTGAGGGGTTTCTCGTTTTTATAGTAGAGACGGGTCTCGCTGTTGCTCAGACTGGTTTCGAACTCGAACTCCTGACCTCGAGCAATCCGCCCTCTTCGGCCTCCCAGAGTGCTAGGATTACAGGTGTGAGCCACACGCCCAGCCTCTGCAGAATGTTAATACTGTCTCTTCTATTATCATAGAAAAAAAAAAAAAAAAGACAGGAATAGATACATACCAGGACTTTATTTCAGGGAAGGTTTGGGCTTAATGTTTGTTGTGACAAAGCAGACGGGGTTAATTTATGTCCTAGGAGACTACTTATGATGGCAGTAAAGTGGTTTTATGAAGGGATTTGAAGGCTTTCATTCTACATCTCTATTCCACTTGGATTGGTAGGGTTACTGAGTATCCTTAAGTTTTAGGTTTCCTATAAGTTTCTTTTCTTGTTAAGGCTGCTCCTATACGGATATTCCTTTGAAACTTAGAAGTAAGTATTATTGCAATTGTGTTAGGTTCTTGACTCTTATGTTCTTCTTTCCTAAGAATTTTGCATTTTTCTTCTCTTTGAAGTACATGCATTTTAAATATGTATTTATTTATTTATAACAGCTCAGAGACAACTTGAAGCAAACATTCCAACTCTGTGAACTTCAATCTGAAAATAAATTTCAGGTCTGGTGAGTGAGTTACTGTAATAGTTTCAGCTTCATGGATCTTAAAGATGAGGAAATAGTGGGGAAAAGAGTCAAATATGATAGCTTCCAGTTGTTAAAGAAACAACTAGGCACTGAGTTTCATAATTTAATCCAGTTTGATAATTCCTTAAGTATGAATTCATTCCTCAGAGAATCTGAAATAGCAGTGAGGGGCACTAGCACATCAGTGTGACCCAAGAGAAACAGAACTATCTAAGGATCTAAAACTAGTTATTTCCCAGACTCTGTTTTGCTTTTTTGGTGTCCTCTGTTCTTTCTTTGTGCATTAAGATCACTGTAAACATAAAACAGGGGAAGCCCTGTGCTCATCTCACACACTATTTCAGTATGGTTTTCTTTGCATGTTCTCCAAGGTAATGTCTCAGTGGCCCCTTTAAAATCCTGCTTGAATCTTATGATAGCTGAGATCTAAGGGGGGAAAAACCATTGTCTTTCTGTGAAAATCAGAACTTGTTCCTAGAGGAAAAGGGAATTTGAAAGAGATTAGACATAAGAACTCTTCTTTTCTAGCTTTAACTGCTGAGACTATGAAAAACAAATGAAAAATAACATCTTGGGCATTAGGACCCAGTGGAAGTGCCTCACTCAGACTGGGTTAACTTCTCTCCGTGACGTAAAGGAGCTGCCCCAGCTCATTCTCTACCCGCAGCCCCCCCCATCTCTTTCTCTCCTGCTCCTGTTCTCCCCCCTTTCTCCTCCCTTTTTCTTCCCTCCCTCCCCTGCTCCCTCTCTTCCCTCCTCCCTCCCCCTTTTCTCACCTCCTCCCTTTTCCTCTCCCTCTTCTCTCTCAGCTCTCTAACATTAAAGAGAAAATGCTGGTATCAGTGACTTCCAGGCCTGGGATTTCTACTTTTGGCTATAACAGAAACAACAAGAAGGTAGGGAAAAGCAGGGATTTTTTTTGTATCTAGCTACTTCCTTTTCTGGGGGATCCGGGAGTACCCTTGGTTTTAACATTCTTCTTTAAGAGGGGAACAGGATTCTCCGGATTCCTCTTTCCTCTCAGCACCACCCCTCTCTTTTCCACTACTTTCTGCATCTTTTCTCACCTGGTTCTGGAGTTCAAGGAATTTGAAGTCTCTGTGAGGCCTGAGAAGGTGGGGGAATTAAAAGCAAAACAAACTTGAAAGTTTGCGTCCTTATGAAATGAAGTTAGTTTGACTTCATGTTGATGTACCAGTTTCCACAGGGATAATATGTCATCTCAGACCCTAGCCCCAAGTCCACCTCTCTGAGGTTGTTTTATCTTTTGATTAACTATTTCCATTCTCTACTACTCTACCTTCCTTCCTCCCCATTCCACTGGCATTATTAGATAACTGAAATCACAGATAGTCACTGAAATCACAACAGCTCATCAAGAACTGGGTGTACTCTTCTAGACTACAGACCCTACCCCACCCAGCCTGTAGAGAAGGAGTCTTGAGAGACAGCATGCTTTGGAATTAAGGCAGAAAGCTCTGTGATTCTTTGGGTCTTTCTTTCCAGCTGATACTTGGAACTCTGCAGATAGCCAGGCTCAGCAGGGATCCTTGGAGTACTTATGATTAACCCCTGGCTGCCAAAGAGTTGTGCTATGCTTGGGCACGTGGACAGTCTGGGGAGAGATAGACAATCTTTTTTTTTTTTTTTTTTGAGACAGAGTCTCACTTTGTTACCCAGGCTAGAGTGAGTGCCATGGCGTCAGCCTCGCTCACAGCAACCTCAATCTCCTGGGCTCAAGCAATCCTCCTGCCTCAGCCTCCCGAGTAGCTGGGACTACAGGCATGCGCCACCATGCCCGGCCAATTTTTTGTATATATATTTTTAGTTGGTCAATTAATTTCTTTCTATTTTTGGTAGAGACGGGGTCTCGCTCAGGCTGGTTTCGAACTCCTGACCTTGAGCAATCTGCCCGCCTTGGCCTCCCAAAGTGCCAGGATTACAGGCGTGAGCCACCGCGCCCGGCCAGAGATAGACAATCTTGCCCACGTTTGCCAGGGAATATCTTTGGTGGTTTTTTTGTATTTCAGAGCACATAGTGCTGATTAGGAGGAACTTCATGCTGTAGCAAGAAGACCCCTTACCTTCTCTAGGTGTTGTAGCTCTTTGAAGAAAAAAAACATGTCATAGACATTCAGGGATCTTTTGCTCATCTTATGGAATATTGGAGGGTAGGGAAAGATTCCTGCTGCTTTTTCTTGTACCTGAAGAGACTATTATAGGTAGATTTAAACACAAGTGTCTGATCAAGGGAGTGGGTAAATGTTTAGAACCCAAACACTTAATGTTGGGTTATGAGTGTTAGTTTGTGTGATATTTATTCTGTTTATAACCTTAAGAAATATGGGTTGGGAGAAGAGGAAATGGGGAGATGTAGGTCAGAGGATACAAGTAGCAAATACGTAAGATGAACAAGTCTTTAGATCCAGTGTACAACATGAGGACCATAGATAATAAAATTGTACTGTATGTGAGACTTGTGCTAAATGAGTAGATCTTCTCTTGCCACACACAAAAAAAGGTATGTTGAGATGAATAAATGTTATTTGCT